CTATTCCTTGACAGCTGCTTCTCTCAGTTTAGCTTGAACAATTAAATGAACTCCTAAGGACCTTGATATGATTAATTCAAATGGCTTCTCTTCACCAGTAGGTATTTGATATTGTTTTGAGTACAGATGTGAAAGTAAGCCAGTATGGTATGGCACACCTGACCAGCTTCCCCAGGCTGGCAATTTAAAGGGCCCGGGGCTCCCTACAGCTGCTGGAGCCCCAGGCCCTTTAAATCGCCTCCCGAGCCCCACTGCCGGAGCCCTGAGGTAGCGGTGGCATGGCTCCGGAGGTAATTTAAAGGGCCCGGGGCTCAGGCAGCCGGGTGTGGGCAGCAATTTAAAGGGCCTGGAGCTCCGCTGCAGTAGCATGTCTGGAGCCCCGGGCTCTTTAAATTGCCCCTGAGCCCCAGGGCTCCCAGCCGCCTCTGCAGTTGGGAGCTCTGGGGGTGATTTCAAGGAGCTGGTACTCCCAGCCGCAGCCAGATCCCCGGGGCCTTTAAATCTTTAAAGACCCCGCCTCTTCCGGTTGAGGCCACGCTCCCGCTCAGGACTCCGGCATACCGGTAAGTTCTTTAAGTTACTTTCACCCCTGTTGGTGTAACAACTGAGTGGAAAGGCATTGGGATCCCTGGCCAACAGGAGGCATTGGCAGTATAGACCCTGCCTATGCCTTGCTGCTATGGAGGTCCAAAAAACAGTTCAAGAGGTGCACAAAGGAGCTGGATAGGGAGAAAGCATCAGGCCCATATGGCTGAGATCCATTCAAAATTTACTATTTGGAGACACACTGAATTTAGGCAGGTGAAATTCAAATTAACGAACATAGGCAAAACACAACATTACGAATTTACAACCTCAGAAGCAACATATTGTAAAATGTTCACACTAGCAACTGAAAGGAAAAACTGCTGGATCTTGTCTAAAAGTCTGCATAGAAACATTAAATGTTAATAGATGCAGACAAGTTGCTTTTGTAGAGTCAGGCTTTGCAACCTTTTCACATCAAAATCTAGATTGCATTCTGCTCTTCCTATCATAATTATAGCATCGATGTTTGACTTTTATAGTAATTTTTCATAATTTATTCTCATGCCTTCCTGCTGCTGCTAATTTATTTGCTAACTTCCCCCTTTCCCTTAAAAAAAATCACTTTTAAGAATAAAATTACACCATCCCATACATTTTGCTCATTTGATTGCTATCATTTTGAAAATGCTGTAGCATGCAGGACGAATCAGAATTCACTTAATAGCTGCATTTGTTCCTTTCAGCACTTCTAAACTGATAATGCCTAGAAAGCAAGTATTTTGGTATAGTGGATTGGAATATTTAGGTGACCTTCAACTGAAAACTTCAAAATGGAGCTCCGTGGTAGTAATAAGCACTTCAGCATACCAGACACACATAATTATATATTTTATTTATTCAAGTACTCCTGTATTTTTAATAAGCTGACAATATTTCCAATTTATAAAGCCAAGAAGAGAGAATCCCTAAACAATCTTCAGCATGTTATTTGTAGATTTCCAGCTGTTTCTCTCCTCACCATGGGAATTTTGTTTACCAACATATTCACATGCATTTTAAATAGGCTGTGTTTAAAAATAAGGTCATATTTGTTGATGAGGCATCAAAAAGAACAAAATGAACATGAGAGAGAGAGAGAGAGAGGACACTGCTAGTGTTCATAAAGTAAATCAACAGCTAACACTTCATCTACAATTGTAATAAAAAAAGAGACCCAGTTACACCACCATTCTCCCATGACACAGATAAAACACAGTTAAAAGCTGAAGCATAAAGGAAAGCTCACTGTTTTGCTGTGACTTGGTTAAACCATGGACAATCTGTACTGAAATCCTTCACTGGTTTCTGCTGGTATGTGAAGGTTTCAGAGGACATTCGGTACACACATCACATCACACTATAGCCAGCACCAGCCCCCAAAGCTGTGAAATTTCACATGGAAAGTTAAGCAGCTTTAAGAATCTACCATATATATGTGGGGGTCAAATTGGGAAGAAATAAAACTTGGTACGTTCCTATACTCCATTCATAAAACAAGCTCCACCCACCTGGGATGCCAAAAGGAGACTCTGCTCACCAGTAGATCTTAATAATATGATTGTCCACCTCCTTTTTTAGATGCTTTGGTCAGCAGTGAAATTGGGCACTGTCATAAATAAAAAGGAAGGGTAAACCCCTTTGAAATCCCTCCTGGCCAGGGGAAAGCTCCTCTCACCTGTAAAGGGTTAAGAAGCTAAAGGTAACCTCGCTGCCACCTGACCAAAATGACCAATGAGGAGACAAGATACTTTCAAAAGCTGGGAGGAGGGAGAGAAACAAAGGGTCTGTGGGTCTGTATATATTCTGCCTTTGTCAGGGATAGACCAGGAATGGAGTCTTAGAACTTTTAGTAAGTAATCTAGCTAGGTACGTGTTAGATTATGATTTCTTTAAATGGCTGAGAAAAGAACTGTGCTGAATAGAATAACTATTTCTGTCTGTGTATCTTTTTTGTAACTTAAGGTTTTGCCTAGAGGGGTTCTCTATGTTTTGAATTAATTACCCTGTAAGGTATCTACCATCCTGATTTTATAGGGGGGATTTCTTTATTTCTATTTACTTCTATTTTTATTAAAAGTCTTCTTGTAAGAAAACTGAATGCTTTTTCATTGTTCTCAGATCCAAGGGTTTGGGTCTGTAGTCACCTATGCAAATTGGTGAGGCTTTTTATCCAACATTTCCCAGGAAAGGGGGGGGGGTGCAAGTGTTGGGAGGATTGTTCATTGTTCTTAAGATCCAAGGGTCTGGGTCTGTAGTCACCTAGGCAAATTGGTGAGGCTTTTTACCAAACCTTGTCCAGGAAGTGGGGTGCAAGGTTTTGGGGAGTATTTTGGGGGGAAAGACACGTCCAAACAGCTCTTCCCCAGTAACCAGTATTAGTTTGGTGGTGGTAGCGGCCAATCCAAGGACAACGGGTGGAATATTTTGTACCTTGGGGAAGTTTTGACCTAAGCTGGTAAAGATAAGCTTAGGAGGTTTTTCATGCAGGTCCCCACATCTGTACCCTAGAGTTCAGAGTGGGGGAAGAACCTTGACAGGCACAATGGTGAAATTTAAATGCTCATCACTGGATTTCAGAGTTTAGCAGTCCTTTTAAAGAAAATGTGGGCAGATCACACTTCTCACACAGCTATTGTTTCAGGCTGTCTGTATCTATTTATATTCAACCCACATTTTCAGGAGTTTCTACAGAACCATAAAGAGCTCTATCAGTTTAAAACAGTAGCAAATAGGACTCTGAATTCCATCAGATTTGACAGACCACCATGAACCAGCACAATTCAACTGCTTCTGCAAAGTGATCTGTATGTTTAACTTCCATTAACTTATTTTTATTATTAATCTTCTTAATGGATGCTAAGCGTGCAAATCACAATATGGTATCAACCCTTTATTTATGCCATATTTTATTTATGGCAGGTAGTGGAGAAGGCGGTGGCTCTATTTTCACAGATTGTGTCATCTCATTATTTACCTGTTAAAAAAAGAAATATGTAACATACCTTACAATTTAAATACTCAATCTCAAATTGACATACATCTATATACATTGATCCTTATGCCTGGATATGAATATATATGTACATTATTCATACTGTAGTAAGCTAGTGCTCAGAACTGCAAAATGTGAACTAAAATCTGCAGAGGCAACATAGTCCAATGGATAGAGCATTGAAATGGAATATTTTTCTACCTTGTGGATTCATGATAGGCAGAGAGACAGCAAACTCAGATTCATTCTTAGACTGTGGAAAAGGAGATACTTGACAAATGTATCTTACAGCTGAATTGAAAATGGGATTACTTGTGGCATTAGGTGTTACTTAAATTAAGTAAGAATGGTGCTTCAGAGCAGGGACCATCTATCACTCTGTTATTATAATGCCTAATACAATGAGGCCCAGATCTCAGCTGGCCCCTACATGCTACCATAATACATATAAATAATAAGAAGAACAACAATAGCAGCAACATCTGGACCTCAGACTGTTAAATCTTTGGGGCAAGAATTGGGGTTCTCCTGTTTTTGTATAACACCTAACACAACAGTGTCCTGACCAAGGACTTTGGTAAACTAGCAACGACAGTAATGCTAATAGAAATGCAATAGTCAAATGTCCATAATGCCAGCAGACGTGTCAGGATTATAAAACTGAAAATTGAGACTGGGACACATGGTACACTGGAAACCCAAGGAGGACAAACTATAATCATTGTGACAGAAGAGAAATAGTAACTGAAAGCCACTTGCTACTTCACTGTACAAAATACAAATTAGTGAAAGAAAGATAATTCAAGCTATCATAACTACACCAGTATTCTTAAAGCAATACAACTCCTTTCCTCTTCATCACCAACACCACCCACACACCCCTCCTGTAGATGCAGCTAAATCAGTATAAAGGTGCATTATACTGGTATAGCTATTCCAATACGGGCAGGGGAATAAGCTATACCAGTATAATGCACCTTTATACCTATATGACTGAACTAACACAAGGGCTTGTACCGGTATAACTATTTCAGTGAGAAAGCACACACCTAACTGACATAGTTATACCAGTAGAAAAACTGTGTTTAGAGCTGGTCTTAAGGTGGGGGTGCAGCTGTGATTTACATCCCTTTTCACTGCCAGAGTAGTGTAAAGGGGCCTTACTGTAAATGAGAATCAGACCCTCAAATTCTTTAGTTTCCCATAAAAATCAGTGTCAAATAGGAAGAAAATAGCCTTGGTTTTGAATTAAAGGACATTGACAATTTTTTCGGAGAGAGAAACTGGTTTAATTATATGTTACTGCATCTTTCCCTCTATTTGCATAATTCTCACGGATAAGACTAGAAAGATAAACATCTTTTCTGACAGGTTCGTATAACAACAAAGTATAGCAATACACTGACATTCTCAACATTTATTTATTTGCATTTTTACTTACTATTTCCCTCTATTCTTCCCATCTTTCAAGCAAGCTTGATAGGAATGGTGACTAAAGCTCTTGTCATTCTTGTTTAAGATGCAAGATCTGTTGTAGCATGCAATATGTGTTAATATAAGAGCAGAAGAGAAGGCATGCATTGTAATGATCTGAAGCAAGACTCTAATGCTGTTGGCTGTTTGAAATAACAAGCAATACTTGTTCAAACAAAGGGCCAGGTTCCAATACCCATACTTGTCTTGGGTAGCATCTTATGCCATGAATGTTTCAACTGACTTCAGTGGAACTGGTTGTGGAGTAAGGTACTATTTAATAAGAGGAAGATCATAAGTCTCTGGACCAAAGTGGGTCTACATTGTTGGCAAAGCTACTCTGGAGTATCTAATTAGCTTCTAAAAGCCAAGTTCAGCTCTGGGGTCAAAAGGGGACGCTTCCATTAACTTTAATAGGAGTGGCACCTGCTTGTGATAGTGCTGAATTTGATCCTGTTTCTTAACTCTGACTCCTCAGTTAGGCTAAGGTTGTAACTTTACACTCTGCCCCTAGTAATGGATGAGATAGAATAAATCGCAACTCATCATCACAGTTCCTCCCGTTTTACCATCTAATTGTATGGATGGAGGGTAATTTATTTAATCTCTTTTTCTGAAACACCTGCATCCACCCCCGCACCCCCCGGTGATCGAGCGCCTCCCACTTTCTCTCCCTTTGCTTGTAGAGGGGAGTAGCAACTGAGCTGTCTCTACCCTCATGACTGGAATCAATCTGCACATGGCCAAGCAGCAGAGTAAGGGGCAAGGGGCTTTACTCCCGTTTGGCAGAGCAAAAGCTGTGAGAAGATAGCCGACAAGAATGAGAGGCTCCTGGTCGATTGGTGTAGCTTACAGGCAACACACCACCCCCTGTCCCAACTGTAAGCATACCATGTTGCAGTGCACTGAAATATTTTGTGCTAAGAACTCACCTATACTAGATACTGTCATTCTTAAGGCTTGTTGCTGTCTCTCTTCATTACAGCCACTAAACTGGTGATGCAAGTAAGGCTATAGCCTTGGCATAAAACAAAGAAAAGGATTTAAACTTTGATTAAAACACACAGAAATCCAAATTGCTTCCCTACAGAAAATTCCCTAAGCATGTCTTGAGGAATTCCATTGAGCATGCAAATATAGGTGCTTCTAGGAGAAGCCAGAGAAAACAACCTGCCTATTTCTTACCTACCTGGCCAAGCCTGCCTGTGCCTTTGGCTGCCCTGTCACATGCCCTTTCTAGAAGTGCTGTCTGCAAGTACATAAAATGGGATACTTCCCTCACAGCTTTGAAGGCTTTGTCAAAGTCACAGTTCTTCCTGGTGAGTTTGATCTTCTCAGGCACAAGCAAAAGAGAGGGTGATCATAGTGGTGGCTCTTATAAGCTGCTTCATAGACCACAAACTGAGCTCTGTCTCCAGAATAATGAGAGAGGACTCCACCTGCTCTCTTCCGGCTGAAGAGTCTTTAAAATATTGTAAGTCTCCTCTGCAGAAGAAACATGTCACCCCTTCTCTGGGAGGCTGTGGAGGAGAAAGACAGAGTGAAGGCCTTGCCCCACTTTCATTAGCCTTTGTTCAACATGCTCACCAATTTGTCAGACTCAAGGGGCAGGAATTGTCCTCCATGGTACCCCAGAAAACTATTGCTCAATAATGTTTTGACTCAAAGCCTCAAAATTCTAATCAAGATTCTAATTAACTAATTTGGAGTAGTTTTGGTAGATAAAGTAAGGTAAATAATGCAGATGAACATGCAAGTGTAACCTTTCCTTGCAAATATTCATACCAAGTACAACAACTGACAAAGCTCTCTCTTTTCCACAATTTGCAATAGAAGGGTTCGATTCACTGCTTATGATGCTATAATGGACTATACTGCCACAGGACTTCACATAAAATATAATCTAGTAAAACCTGTTCAGCAGATGTTATATTGCACAAGAAAATAAACATCAATCAGGTCCTCATTTAAGAAAGCCATAATAAATTATACACTTACATAGAATGTATTCTAACTTTTGCCAATCTAACTAAATTGTGAGGAAAATTCCCAACGTTTAAACTAAGAATTGAATTTCAGTATATGTCCTTTATATAGGGACAAAACTGAGATTCGAAACATCAGTGCTAATATTACTAAATCTATCAAACTCAGTAACTAAAACAACTGTGAAGCATTCAGTTTTGGTAAAGAAAATTCAGTTCTTTTATGCCAAAGTATTTCAAAGGGGTTGAGTTCCTTATCGTCCTCAAACAGAATTACAGCTAGTGTTTCTGTATTTGAGTGCTTGTCTGGCAAAGAAACCTGTCCTCCATGGTGGAGGAACTGGAATCAGGAACAGAATAATTGCAGATGGAGTTATGCTATCGTGTTATTACTCCAATTCTGTACCCCTCAGGATACTGGTCTTCCTGGCTGAATCTGCATTGCCTCCTATTTCGCATATTGCAACCTATTTTCAGTGCAATACTAGTCTACTGTGCCTAACAGGAGTTTCCCAGCCCTTCCTAATTGCTCCCCAACTGGATTCTGTCCCTCTGGGGCAGATCTACTCTGCTGCTCCCAACATAAACATGCCTGGCATATAGTTAGAGCTAGTTGGGAATTTTCCAATGACATGTTTTTAGTCTAAACTGAAACTAATCATGGGAAACTGAAAGGGCTGGTTTAGAAAAAAGTCCCAATTCAAACTTTTTTTTTTTTTTGAAAAACAAAGTTTTAACATTTTCAAAATGAAATAAAAATGTGTCAAAACAACTTTTAATTATGAAATTTTAGTTAATTTATACTAAAGAAGATATAAATAATTTAAAAGGCAAAATCAACCCAAAACATTTTGAAATTATTGAAATGAACTGTTTCAATTGACCCAAATAATTCCCCCCCCCCCAGATTAACAGGTCACAAAAATGTTCAAAGTGTTGCCTTTTTCCCATATTATTTTGAAAACTTCTGTGGGATGGTATATCTGTTTCCTGCCCAGGTCTACATACAGCACCTTGTGATGTGGCTGACTAATTGGTGCTCTTCCACACAGGGAACCGCTATAGAATGCTGCCCCTCCCTCCCTCTGGGCCGACATATGACGTCATCTTCATCATCATTATTTATTATTTACTTAGCCTCAGCCATCATGCAGGTCTTATCCACCCCCAACACAGTCTCTATGGCCTAACCTGTAGAGCTGTTGAATAAGGCAAACAAGTTATTTTCAAATAATTGTTGTGAATCAGTGTGTCAAGTTCACTCTGCTACTATTCAAGAGGCCACATTATTGATTGCTTGCAAATATTGGGACAACCTTCAGTTTATTCATGAAATGTTCAAACACCCTAAATGTTTAATGATATTTTAGCTAGAATGATTATCCACTGAAAATTGGTACTATCCATGCATTATTCATTGCTCCTATTATTCATTCTCCTGCTTATAAAGTTTCAGTCATCTGATCAGAAACACCGCTGTGTAACTTAGAGGACCAATCATGCCCTATGGAAAGGGAGTAGTCAATTAGAACAATACATGAACCATTTTTCTCCAGAAACCATTGAAACAAATTCAACAAATATATTAGCAGACATCATGATTTATTCGCAAACAGAAAAAAGCTAGCTAAATCAGATAATGTTTAATTTTCTCCACCTATTTATCTGCATAATTGATTGGTTCTGCAATAAATTCATTCCTTAATTGATTCACTGCATAACTATTTGTCTATATAATTTATTCATTTTACTGTTCATCCCCTGCATTATTATTGCATATAATTGATTCACCACATAAAGGTTTTACTCAAAGTTAAATTGATTCTTTGCACAATTGATCAATAGCATACTAGTCCTGGCCAGTCTCTGCTTATCCTCCGACTCCTCTCCTCAGCACCATAGAGGATCTGTTCTTCGCTTCTTATTCCTCCAAAACGTGAAGACCATGCCACATGTTGTATTTCAGACATGATACCAATAGTCAGGATAGCTGGTCTGTTAGGCCATAGAATCATAGAATATCAGGGTTGGAAGGGACCTCAGGAGGTCATCTAGTCTAACCCCCCTGCTCAAAGCAGGAACAATCCCCAACTAAATCATCCCAGCCAGGGCTTTGTCAAGCCTGACCTTAAAAATATCTAAGGAAGGAGATTCCACCACCTCCCTAGGTAACGCATTTCAGTGTTTCACCACCCTCCTAGTGAAAATATTTTTCCTAATATCCAACCTAAACCTCCCCCACTGCAACTTGAGACCATTACTCCTTGTTCTGTCATCAGCTACCACTGAGAACAGTCTAGATCCAGCCTCTTTGGAACCCCCTTTCAGGTAGCTGAAAGCAACTATCAAATCCCCCCTCATTCTTCTCTTCCGCAGACTAAACAATCCCAGTTCCCTCAGCCTCTCCTCATAACTCATGTGTTCCAGTCCCCTAATCATCTTTGTTGCCTTCCACTGGACTCTTTCCAATTTTTCCACATCCTTCTTGTAATGTGGGTCCCAAAACTGGACACAGTACTCCAGATGAGGCCTCACCAGAGTCTAATAGAGGGGAACGATCAGGTCCCTCGATCTGCTGGCAATGCCCCTCCATATACATCCCAAAATGCCATTGGCCTTCTTGGCAACAAGGGCACACTGTTGACTCACATCCAGCTTCTCGTCCACTGTAACCCCTAGGTCCTTTTCTGCAGAACTGCTGCTGAGACATTCGGTCCCTCGTCTGTAGCGGTGCACTGGATTCTTCCGTCCTAAGTGCAGGACTCTGCACTTGTCCTTGTTGAACCTTATCAGGTTTCTTTTGGCCCAATCCTCCAATTTGTCTAGGTCCCTCTGTATCCTATCCCTACCCTCCAGCGTATCTACCTCTCCTCCCAGTTTGGTGTCATCTATAAACTTGCTGAGGGTGCAATCCACACCATTCTCCAGATCATTTATGAAGATATTGAACAAAACCGGCCCGAGGACCGAACCTTGGGGCACTCCACTTGATACCGGCTGCCAACTAGACATGGAGCCATTGATCACTACCCGTTGAGCCCGACAATCTAGTCAGCTTTCTATCCA